CTAGGTGATCTTGCTCTGGCAGGGGGGTTGGGCTAATTGATCTTTTGAGGTCCCTTCCAACTCTTAATATTCTGTGATTGTGAAGTCAAAGGTGTAAGCTTACGAATATAAACAACCCCTTCAAAATACAGTCTTCAATTGAACTACCTATAGGCAGAGTAATAAAATATTCTCTCTTCTAGTCCAGACAACCATAAATGTCTCAATTCAGTCCACTTCGGAATGCAAGAATTTTACAAGTAAATTGATATTGTGGGTTGAAAGAACAAGACCAACTATCCTTTGTCTTCATGACTTCATCTGAATCTCCTCTTACTGTCTAAAGCTTTGTTAAAGAGTTGACTACTTTTTAATAGAACATACAGGTAGCATCTACATCTGTATCTACAGCTATTAAGAGGTACTTATATAATGAATTATATAAGGAATATAAAGAATTAATTAAAGTATCCACACTAACAGAGAGCCTGCATATATAAATCCAAGCACATTTCTCAGAAAAGCTAGATATAGCTTTTTAAAATAAATTAAGTTTTAAAAGAAAATGTAGCTGTTCATAATAAAAGCATCAATTAAATGACCAAACAGAGAAATCTTTAAGTATGCAGTTTAAAGGACACCAAGTTTTACTAATATGCATGGGAAGTGTAATCAGACTGTCACAACTGCACTGCATCCAGTGCATCCCTAGGTTCAGACTGTCCATGCATATCAATACAGGGTTATAAAAGCATCAGTAAAAACAGGTTTACCAACCTCCTCGGGATAGAAGTACTGAAGATGACTGAGAGGGAAGACTGATTCAAATCCATCTCTGAATGAGTCAAACTGTCTGGCAACACCTTCATTTAGTGCCCAGAATATAACCAACTGCAAAGAAGAAAAAAACAAAAAACAAAAACAAGTCATTGGAACAAAGGAAGCACGGAATGATCACTACTGAATGAAACACCTCTACAGAAGCCTAGCCCTATGCTTACGGTAGCTGTGGCAGAGTTTGAACTTTGAGTCATGCAGCTACTTTACAGCATTACCTCATTCTGCCTAAATTCATAAGCTCATCATGCTGCATGTGTTCCAGTGCTGTGCTGCTGCAATGCAACAGACAATTTGTTCGGCTTTTTTTTTTTTTTAATGACTTCCTCATGTGGTCTGTCATTGCAAGTTAGCAAAAGTAATCTTGAGTTCAAACAACCCAGTGTTTAGAATACCCTAAAGCGTGCAACTCATGCAGAATTTAAACAACTTATTTGCCTTTATTTTTTATAAAATAAGGTTAATACATAGAATCCAGAGAAGCTGGTTAAACTGATCCTATTTAACAAAATACTTTCAACCAAATCTAAACATCTACTAGTTATTTTTAGAAGCCTAGCCTAAATGTTCTCTCTGTACACTGATAGCCATTTAAACCAGCTGAACCAGAAATCCTTAGAATATCATTGTCAGTATAATATTAAGTTTCCCCCATGGAAACATATGGCTGCCTTCTCTAATATATGATTAACTTTAGACTGTTATATTAAGTATCTTAATATTATAAGAATACATGGGGAAAAAATAAATAACTTCATTTCATGTTACTAAGATTTGGTAAGTATCACAAGGCAAAAGACAGTAAGACAGTATACTGGGCTTTCTGTGTACATCAGTTTTGAGTATCTGCAGTTACCCTCTCAGGATGAAAATTCACCTTCTAAAGCGGACAGCATGTACTGAAACAATAATCAGTAGGGGGAAAGGGAAGGGGATAGGACACAAACAAGACCAAATTTCACTTAAATCTTCCGCAGCAGTATTTCTTCACTAAATTAAAAAAATACATTATACACAGCAGATTGCACATCAAGTTCAGGTTCTTTTGTCAGTCAGTGCTGCTGGTGACTACACTTGCCATGGCTACCCTCAACTCTATCAGGAAATGAAGGCTGCTTGTAAAAGATGTGTTGTCAACACACAGCTACTAGTTTTTAAATGTGTTAAAAACTCTGACCTGGAATGCTGAGAAAAGCTTTGAAAGACATCTAAGGATGCACCTGAGTATATTAAAAACTTCATTTATACTGCTGGACTCTTGAAGCAAGCATTTAACCTTGTCCCAATAACTGTGGAATTACTTGTTCCAGAAAGCTCTGAGATATGAAAGTTTATTAGGATCTATTGATAAGCTTTCCTACAAGAGTCAGGCATTCAGTTTCAGGCAAGATACACAGCCCTACCTTCGCACATCAGGTTGTAATACTGAAGAACAAGCTGGCAAGCACCAGCAGCACAGAAGACTGTTCTATTACATTCTGTAATGCAGAATATTCTATGACTATTCTAGAAGCAGAGTTGCTGACTTTGCATTGCAATTACATTTTATGACCGGGAGTGTGTGGCAAAATTAAGCTGCACTGCATTCTTGTGGATTCAAAGAGAAGATAAAATTGTTATGCAAAAAACTGCACTCTGGAAACTTTTTGTCCACAAATTTAGTACAAGCAAGTCGGCCTCCTTCTTTATATTAAGGGGGTGGAAGAGAGAGAGAGAGGTAATAAGAGTCTCTCTCCATACCGGTAGCTGAAATAGTTCTACTTTCTGACAAAGGTAGTTCCTGTGGGAACTGTCCTTGGGGAAAAAAGGGAGATGTAGGGTAGAATGACATGACTGCAGGAGAGGCATGAAGAGTAACAGTAGGATATTCTAGCTTTATAAACTACTTTTAATGGCAATCCACACACAAGATTTTAATGAAAATTACATTTTCAAGAACAGGTCAGCTGATAAATGAAATATACTGTTTCTAAATTGCAATTCATCATACTTGTGATACAGAGGACACTAATTCTCTCTCTGGAATCTTTTCCATTTCCTTGACATCAAGTCTGTAATGCTAATCACACAGACCTAGTTTAAAGTCTCCTCCGTAAGGCAAGAATATGAAGACAAAACGAAAACTGCACAGGTATACTTTAAAAAAAAAATAGTCCTGAGAGTTGTTTAGAAAGAAGTGGAAACCAAGCTTTCTGTCATGATCTGCTTTTCCTTTACAATGCCAGAAGCCTACAATACAACAACTATAGGACATCCAAGATGTCTGCAAGCCTTTCTCAGCATATCAGATTCTTCTACGTAACACATATCAAGTAAAAAAAAAACCGAACAAAACTGACTGCAAACACTATGAAAACCCAACTTGAAAGCAACCTTTTTCATAATAAATCTTGCTTCCTCAGAGGCTGCAAATGCTGTTTCTAACAAGCTTTAGTTCCTGCCCATTTTTAAGTCTGCAAACAGTTTTATCTCCAACTATGTTTAATTTTATAAATGATAGTCGACTAGCAGAATTTGCTTTCAACAAATAAAGATATGACAACTGCCTACATGCATAACAGCTTGAATCTGGAAGACAAACGACAACTGTTCGATATGCAGTTTTAAGGATTATGGAATAACTTCACAAAGTTCTCAGCTGATGTCCAGGCGCTTATACACTCCTTACTGAATAATTTCTACCAAAACATCAGATGTGTTTATCATCAGCATTTGAAAATCTTAACAATCCTAAGAATGAAATTTGCAGCAGACTAAGCTGTCAGAAAAAGCATTATTTAGAGATTGGAATAATGGCTTTTTCATGATGCAATCATTCTTACCTCCAACCCACCCATGACTTCCTGTGATAGTATCGCATTCTTCCTTCCTTTCCTTATCTCTTTTCCAGGCTGTTTTTAACATATTTCTTTTAATACTTTCTTGTGCAGAAACAGTTTCCTACCTTTGTTCAGCAGTCTCGTCTTTGTTTTTCTACGTTTTTTTCAGTTCTGACATAAGAATGTCAGAACCAATATACAAGTGTAGTGTCACTTATTATGGCACTGTTTCAATCTGTTCCTTACCTTTTTTTTATGGTTTGGGGGTTTGTCTGTTTTTGTGGGGTTTTTGAGTTTTGACTCATAACTGAGCTGATATTTTCTTAAGTCGGACTCAAAAAAAATTTCACTATTACTGCAGTTCAAAGCCCACTGAACTATTAGTGCTAAATCACTATTGCAAACAAATTTATTATCATATCAAGATGTGAGAATATGTTAAAAGATTTAAGTCCACAGCTCAAGTTATTCTACTTACTACAGCACTTTTTAACCACAAAACCCATACTTCTAACATCTTCCTTATGTACAAACAAGACTTTCTTTGTACCATAAAATTTTTTAGTCAGGTCCACTGACTAGGATTCAAATGGTTTTTCTGTAGCAATAAACTAGTACTGAACAGAAACAATCAGTAGGAAAATTACTGCTGTGCCCAGTTCGAGGGTAAACTGAAATACATGGATGAACTATATATGGAAACAAACTACTTAGGAGCAAGATGAAGAAGAATAAAGAAAGTTTTAGTCCTAGCTTTGCTTTTACATACTCTGAGATACTCCTCTAAATTGTGAATGGTGACTGGTGTATCTTTTCCTCCTTTTTTCAGTTCTATATTAGGAAATCCAGGAAGTGTGAAGTCCAGCCCTAGATCTTCCACTGAGCAGCCATTCATAGTCAGAGCCTCCAATGCATACTGTAGACTTTCTTTGGTCTAAAAAATTGGAAGTGAAAACCAGTAAGAAAAATTCATTCACATTACTTATCCAAAAGTTCGTCAAAACTGCTGTAGAAGTCATATGTAAACATTTCTAAGAATATTACTATTAATACTGTTAAGAGTACTCCTTGCTTTCCTTTTTTTATTTTTTCATGCCAAGACAAATCAAACAAATCGGTCTTAACGGATAAACTTAAAAGGTCCTAAGAGTACACTTTTTTCCCCTAGCAATTTTAGAATTACTTTGGCTTCTTGTATATTTTTTATTTAGAAAATGCTATTGCAAGAGAAAGACGTGTTATAGCCTGAGAGCCTTAGCATATCTTTTTTCCTTAGAAGAGTTAATGGCATTCATATTTGGCAAGCATACTGACATTTTTCTGCTTTCATCCACCAGGTTTCAGGTTTTCCAAACTCTTATTGGGAAATTAAAAGCAGTGATCAAGGAGAGAGTGTGAGGCACTAAGGTGAAGAGGAACAAAGGGCCCACAAGCTTGCAATAACTTCACTAGTAACAAAGCAGTATTAGGAGTATAAATTAGATTACCACCTACCATCTATTAACACTGCATGCTAGAGAAAGAGCATGCATGCCAAAAACCTTGTATCACTACTCTGCAACACTGAATGGTACTATTTTTAGAGTGGATAACCTTGAAAACTTAAAACTTCTGTATCATAAAAGAACCTGTATGGTCACATATGAAGCCAGTTTACACCAGTTCTGCATACAGCTTTCAGTGGAGGGGTGGGGGTGGAGGGGGACACACAGAATACAAAAGGCATACCTAAAAACCCTGAAAGTTTGACTAAACCAACTAATAAACAAAACCCAAGCCTTTTTAATGTTCAGAAATCACGGATAGATTTTTTTTTTCCCTCTCTGATATTGAAGTTGCTTAGTCTTTTCAAAACAGACCAAAAAAGAGCATTACGTAAACATCTGGCAGTTTTAGCCACATCTAGCCTGTGTTTAAACACATAGAAGAATCCCATAATGAATTTTGAAATGTAGATTCTAGCATTAGAAAAGACTATGTTATAATTACTAGCCAATGATTTAACAACATTAAAATAAGTCCTTGATTATGATGAAGTCATTATCACTACTACCATCAGTATTAAGAACTATCATACACTCTCAAATACAGCTACTTCATAAAATCCAAACATCTGAAGATATACTTCTCCATTTCTAGGGTTACTTTCCCACCTGTGTTTTGTCCTGTTCAAGTCTTTTCTTTTGTCTTACAATATCTTCAAGGTGATATATTGATTTGGCTACTACTGGATCAATACTGAACAAGTCATGCGATGTCAAGGAAGTTTCCTGTCGTAACATCCATTTATAAAAAGGTAGTCCAAGAGGAAGGTCCACCTGGAAATTGAAACTTTGTTTAGTATTAAACTGTCTTCCAAAACTATCTTTTGCTATTTTACCTCTTTACTAGATCTAGAATACTTATTTACAGTTCTGGCACACACCAAAAAAATGTCTGAGTGTTTTTATGTGGGAAATTTGCAGTCAAGAAAACACATCTGACTGCCTAGCACATATACATTAGAGCAAACAACAAGCTAGCAGCTGCACTAATCCCAAAATGACCTCAAAAGAATGAAAGATGACTGGAGAGAGATTGCAACACATGACAATGGCTTTTCTTCTTTTCACTATGGTCTCAAAAGCCACTGTAAAAATCTTCAACATACACTAACCTTTCCCCTTCCAAAGCTCTGTTGCATCTCCCCCCACTAAGCACAAACCGCTAGAGCTGAAAATAATTCCATGCAACTCTTATTGGTATTTTTCCCTCAACACAGTTCAAACTAGAATCTTCATTTAACCCTTCAGAACCACATTTCCCATTTTATTCTCACCAGTCTAAAATCCATGATTGCCTTGGCCATTAGTTTTCCCAGAAAGCGGAACTTCATTTTTACTTTTGCAATGTGAGCTGGCTTGGCTGTTCTACCAAAAGGAAGTGCAAAAAGGCCTTGAAGGTTATGGATGTACTTGGTACCTTCCTGGCTTCCTGTTGAGGAAGGAAAAAAAAAAAGTTCAATACCTACACTGCTAGTTTCATTCCACTTGCAAGTCTGAAAGCAACTATCAGATAACCATAACTTAAAACTTCATATAAAATTAAACAAAGAATCACATACTATCATGAGGCATATTATCCAACTACAAACTGAGATGCTCTTTCAATCAAAGCCATTCATGTAATTACAGTCAACTTAGAAGCAATTCAATATTAGATCAATATTGATAGTTTAAAGTAGTAAAACATTTACCTTTTGGATTGGCTAACGTCACTTCTTCTCCCCTCCAAAGGCCCAAGTCTGCTCTCTGTAGTTCCTGAGATACAAGTGCATAGAACTCTAATGTGGGGCCTAGGCCTGTGCCAACCTTCATGGGGAAGGAGGGTTTAGGGAGAGGAGAGGAATGAAATAAATAAATGACTCCATTAGGTCAGTCTGAATATTAAAGAAATCTTTACTTAGTCCGAGAAATAAAGTACATTACTGGCTATAAAAAAGACTACATTGCAAAAAGCATCTAGAGAATCTAAGTATGCCAACATTTACAATATGACTGAAACAGCTTGGAAAGACCACGTATCAGAGGGAATAATAGTGGAATAAAAGTATTAAACACCTAATGATCATACTATAGAAGAAACAAACAGGTGTTTGCTTAGAGTCAGAGGAAAAAAACCCCCATGTGTTCTGCAGAACAAGACTGATTATGAAATTTAGATCAGAAAGTTTCTCCTAGCAACTAAACACTATAACCAAGTGGATTAGGGATAATTAATAGGTAAATTTTTGTGGCACCAGCAACAGGAAGGGCCGAGAGTCTGACCAAGTAATTCCAGAAAAGTTATAGCTTTTTTTTGTATTAGTCTTCAGTAAAAAGGGGTTAAATTAGACTGCATTATATTACTTACTTCATTCTCATACTGGATTTCCAACATGGCTCTTGAACTGCCTAGATCCTGCATCACAGATTCTGCCTGTTTCAACAGCTCATCTCTGTTCACAGTGCGCTACACATTAGAGAAGTTTTAAGTGGTGAAATTATGTCTGCAAATCCCAGATCCCAAGGGAGTTACAACAGGAATAAAAGTTATGCAAGTTTTTCCACCCCATGCTGATAGTTCCACACTTCAACAATTTGTAATCTTATACTTCGATAAAGTAATTCCTGTTTCTGTATCAAAACTAACTAAAGTGTTCTATATAAAATGACAAAAAAAAAAAAAATCAATGTCTTACATTTGTATCAGTATAACTAATGGGTACTACTCTTGCCAAGAATCTGGCAGTAGGACTATACCATCACAGAGAAGTGTTGTCATGTGACGTTACACACCTCCAGCACATGAAGAACACACAGAATAAAGATGCCAAAAATCAAACAATCTGAAAGAATTATCTTATACCCTGCCCTTGCAGATTCTCTCATAGGGAAAGCAGCAGGTTTCAAAAAACCAAAACCACCCAAGGCACACAACAGCACTGGTATTCCTTCATGCTGCAAGCTATATTCTAGTTGAACTAGATTCTCATCTCTCGTCTTCCCTCCCCCCCACCAGAGGTATTCAGGATCACATAGGAGATCTACACTATACAACAGATCTTAGTTGATGGTAACATCTCTCCAGACTCAAGGCAGACACCCAAGACCCCCTTAATTTAAAACAGTCACAGCTTAGTTTTATTTCATTGTGACAGGGTGTTTAATACTCTCCCAGAATACAAGGATAATGTTTTTATTCATTCAGGTTAACACTTAAGGGTCTAAATTGTAGTGCTTAAATACTTCTCAAATTCTACATAAAGCAAAACATACATAAAGCTAATATATGGAAATATCACTAATGTAACCTAAAACTTAAATTTCATTCTTGGGAGTATAGTTTCAGAAATTATCTAAAGACTCCAATTCAAACTCAGGCAGGATGTGAGAAAGCTGTGTAGGATACTCGAGCCCCTTCTGCCACCTAGTGGCACTCACCGACAAGGCATTGGGATTTCTACTCCGGGGCTTTGAAATGAACGTAAACAAACCTTCCCTTCACGACTATACTACGAAAACCTGACGTTTTACAAATAAACCTTGCTCACGATTATATTCTTAAACATAACAGCAAACTACACAGATCATTCATCCCATTTTTAAACAAGGTATACCTACTTTTTTCCTGTCCAGACGTGGTGCCACTCTGCTATCCTGAGAATCTGACTGATTGATTTCTGGATTAGTATCCAGTAGTCTTTGCATGGCTCGATCACGATCAAAAGCAGTTACATAAAACAGCATTTGACGGGTATCAAATGGAAAGAAAAATGGGCTGTAAAGAGCATTGGATTAGTTAGTTGGGTTCCAACTAGTATCTGTGACTATAGTGTAGTTTAAAACACAACAGATGTAGTATGCTTAAAATCAGTGCTTTAATACACTGTGGTGAAAGCATTCTCCATAGGAAGCCTTTCAGAACACACTTTAGTTTTAGTTACAATGTTTACAAGAAAGTCTAGAGGTGGAATTTAATATAAGAAGGAATCACAAAGAAATCCAGAAACTTTTAAGTCTTCCAGAAAAATAACTCAAAATCATTTAATGCCTTGACTATGCAAAGTTTACATCAGAAAATAAATATTCTTTTATGCGTTCACCCATTTTATAATTAATCAATCTAACTTAGATCAAAGGTTTTACGAAGGTGGCGCAAGCTCCCATATTTGGGGGAAGGGGGCAGAAATGAAAGCCTGCCCAAAGCAGCATCAGCATTCTACCTCCTACCATTTTCAAGAAACACTTCAAACAATCTGTGAAAGACCACCAAAGAATAAAATACATTATTTTAATTTATCAGTTCTTCTATTCTCAAAGGCATGTGTACGTTAACAGTGTAGTTCTTCACTGACATTTAAGTGAAAAGTCAGTTTTATGGAACAAATACTGTTATATACATTTGTATAAGAATATACATTCATACTTATAATCTGTTAATCAGGAATATTTATGAATAAATTTAGAGATCTTATTTAAAATATGAAAGCCAAATAGTTTCTCTAGACTATGTATTTCCAGTCATCGCCAATATTGCTTCGATTAACATGTGTTAAAAATCCAAGAGTATCAACTGTGATTTTTGATTCTTTCAAGTGCAAGAGTTTTACAAGTTATGCTCTGTACTATGAATATAGCTTTATAAAAATACTCCTAATATTTTACCAGTAATTATAAAAATATTTTCCTTCACACCATATTTAATATGCTAAGGTAAATGTAGCATTGTGACAAAAATGCCATTAAGCAGTTTAACAGCAGAAAGTCATTTGAATAATCAAGTTTTATTTTAATTAGAAAAACCTGAAGTTGCTCAGAAACTCCTCTAAGAACTGGTCCAAACTGTGCAGCTAACCTAACCCTCCGTATTTGGTTTAAACTATGCAATATAGGTATAAATACTCAATCAAGCATCACCATGTAACTTAGCAAGATTTCTGTGACTACATTTTATTCTTCCAGCACTTTTAAAAGCCCTGTAACACATGCTGCACCTGTGCTATCCAGTCAAGATGCCTACTAAAACTCAAAATAGAAAATATTATACAGTTAAGTTATTCATACCATGTTTTTCCAAGTTCTGTCAGCCAAGTTGGTATGTTTCCTGTCATAATTACCAAAGGATCTTGAAGCTGCCTGTTCGCTTTTGCTGTCAGTTTACTGTTGATAAACTCTGAGGTTGGAATTATCTCCTTGCAGATTGCATTCTGGGTTAAATAAAAACAATATACTTCTAGTTAGAGAGATGCTGGAAGAAATACGAAGCCGTTGTTGAAATTTTTTTAATGCTTCTAATTTGCTTATTACAAAAACAATTGTCACTTTGGACATACAGAGTGAGTCTGAGCCATGAAAGAAAATCTGACTAGGTTTTATTATTAGTTTTCTTTTCAGTAGTCATGTTACTCTTAGAACTTAAGGAAGGAAAAAGCATTAATACCATGACTGACTATAAGAGAAATAGATGGGGGAGGATAACAGTATTTGCACTATTCTGTGGTGGGAAGGAAGGGGAAATCAAGCAGCAGACAGAGGAAGACAGCTATTTCAAGGTGTTTCAGGACAGTATGAAAGTGATTTAAAATTCCTCCACTCACATCATACAAGTAATACCAGTATCGACTGATAGCATGTAAAACTCTCAGAAGAAGAATAACATCTAATGAAGGATCTTCAAATGTTATGCTTTCAGGTGGAGTAGATATGAGGTAAACTTCTAGAGGATTTAATACCGAAGGGCATACACCATCTAGCACGGAAAAAAAACGAAACTATGTTATCAAAACAAATCAATTGGAAGTCTTCCCAAGATGTAATTATTAGGAGCCTAGGTAATACTAGTCATATTATTTACTTAATTGCAAGTTGAGTTAGACAATTAAGTAAATATCTTATTTTTAGTTTTAATACACATATTAATAGATGCTTACTTTTCTTATACTTTGCTTGCTTTAAAAGAAACACTATGGTGTCTCTAAACACCTGCCTCCCCATCCTTTCAGAAATTTCAAAAATTTCACAAATATTAGCAAAGCAACACACTCACCATGCCACAACTCATCATGCTTTTTAGAATTCCTAGGGGAGGTTTTCGTGGGAGCAGTTTGTGCTCTTCCTCTTTTACCACCCACACAGTCCTTATTACCATCTTCATCTTCTCGCACAGGTTTGTACCTAAAAAAGTAATTAAAAGTTACAAACATGTTTAGGAAATACTGAATTACATGGAAACAAAAGCAGTTATAGAAGTGTTAGTTCTTTTATTACCAAAATTTTACTTGAATGACAGTTAAAAGCAGAACGACAAGAACAATGCATTTGGATATGATCCAGGCTTTGAAGCTCGGCCCTCAGAAGTAAAGTATGTCATGGGGAGAAAAAATGGGGACCCCTCTAGCTCCATGAACTGGAAGAAGAGAAGCAGAAGGTATAGACAAAAAAAGCAAGGTAGCTTTTTCTCCTTGCTTTTGCAGAACATATTTAAAAATTAGAAAGAAAGAGACACTGCTGAATGTTAAAATGTTTGGCACAGTCATAGGTCAACACTGCTCCTTGCACCACATGGCCAGAGAATACATATACCTGCACAGCAATTAACTGTGAAAACCAATATGAAGTTGACCATTATTTATAGACTCCAGACACATTCTCTAATGTTTGTGTTTAGTTACACTGCAGATTATTTCTCTCCATCTAGAAGGTGTCATTTAAGATTACCATCTCCTGTTCATCAGCTTCACTTATGAGCTAGAAAGGTGTCAGTAGCTAACAATGAGTTCTTAACTAGGATTTAAGTATCTCAAGCATATCAGAAAATTCAAAGCTTCAGTTTTGGGGGAGGTGGTGAAGGGAAAGAAGAGACAGCTATGTTTCAATTTCTTATTTATATACATCTAGGAAACTGGAGCTGTCGTCCCTTGATTTTTCTAGCCAACTTACCAAATGGTATGCGTTTTCGTCCAGATCCCAGCTCTTCCTAATGGGTTGCTTTCATCATCTGTAGACTCCCTCTCCTCCTCAGCTTGTAAACTGTACTGCCTAACTGCTTGATACACAGTCATATTGTACGGCAGCGAGTGATCTCCAATGTAAAATTGCAGTCTATGCCTCACATTACCTGAATTTAAGAATTGAGCAGCCTGATTGAAACAAAAAAAATCACACAAGTCAGGAAACTTGTTACTAGCTTTTCTTTAAGTCTCTCCTTACACTGTTCCCTCCTCCTACCTCCAGAGCAAGAGCTTACCAAAGATTCATCTATTTCTTCATCTGACCCATCATCATCACTATCCTCATCATCTTCTCTAACTCTTCCATAGCCTGAGGAAAGAGAGAAGACATCCTCATTTATTTTAACACAAAATGTAGCAATGCTTTTGTACTCCGACTTTTATAAACTCCACTGTTCCAAAACATATCAGTTAAAAAAAGGTTCAGACATTTCAGAACAATTTTCAGTATCACCATCTGGCATCACAAGTGCCAAGTTACAGCCTGACAATTAAATATTAACAGAAGTATAATGTAGTTAATAAAACTGTTTACAATAGGAACAAGTTTGTTCTAGAAAAAGGAAGATTCTCTGCAGCCTCAGTCTCCTCCACTGTGCGCAAGATACATTTACAGGTACCTCCCATTTACCCTCAGTATAATCCTTAGTTTTTGTGGTTGGTTTGTTTGTGGTTTTTTTTTGTTTTTTTTTTTTTTTTTAACAGACTCTACAATGCTAACAGTAGTGACTATTCCAAGAAGCAAAAACACACAAGTGATTGTATAATACATATATATACCTCTAACTACAAGGTATCTTTCAATGGCTTGTACCAAAGCCAATGGATCAATCTTCACAGGTCCACCTTTCCACTGTTTCACATTAGCACAATCTGGATGTCTTTGCAGTTGGCATTTTAACTGGTGTGTATTGAAGAATTTTAAAGCTTGGGATCCTCTGTTAAGAGAAAAACTCAAAATAATTTGTGAAAAAAGTTGCTATACAAAGAACCTAATAACCATAATCATTAAAAATGTATTAAAATAGGCTTATACATGCATTTACAAATTCAGTTGTTCAGAGTATTATTTCTCAGCCTATTTCTCTGAAAGTATGCTTATAAGATTTGGATTAAAGAGACTAAAAATTTTTTTCTACAAGAACACTAAAATTCAAGTTGGACAAAACCCAATTTTCAATGGAAGCTACATGAATTAAGGTCCAATCTGAGGTCTGGACAATGTAGTCCATACTAACTATCTTTTGACCATCCAAAGTTATTCAGTGGTCAGGTGATGCCACATAAATAATATTTAGAGCAGTGCTATATAAGGATCAGAATCAAGGGTGGAAAATCCAGGTGTCTATTCATATATTTTTTTAATAAAGACCTAAAGAGGCAACCTGAAAGCTCTTCTGCCTTCAATTGCCAAGTATAGTTATATCCATGTTCCATCTCACCAAACTCAACATTCAAGCTATCCATTTTTATACACAAAACTCTTATATTGGGCTGCTTCTAATTCTAGATGCTAGTGAAAGACTACCAAATTTTAATACCTCAAAATCCTCATTAACATAATCCACATTAAGACTAGCAGTCTAAGAACACTACAGTAAGTCTGATTTCCCATGTTTAATTTTCTATCAAAAAGAATAGCAGAATTTTGCTTCTGAGTAGCAGCTTTATAACTTTTGTATTTATCCCACTTTTCTTTTTTTAGAGATACAGTGCATATTAGGAAGCACTGTAAGATTACAGAGCACTATTTGCAAGAGCCAGTATGAAGAAAATTAATTCCTTCAAGTATTAGAAAGCTATGCACTGCATTCATTCCCATAGATTTTAAGTTTCACAAAAAACAAGTACTGAATTTTAATACAAGTTAGATTAATGCTAGTGTGAAGCTCTAATACATCTACTATAATACATGTTGCCACAGTTAGTGACAAACAACCCACATTATCTTACTACCCAAGAGAAAGCAGGTGTTGGCATTTCAAACTTTAAAGAATTATTTTCAAAAAAATAATTGTCAACACTTCTCTCAGTTTGTTGTTTGTTTGGTGTTTTTTGCATTTTGTTTTTTTTTCTAGAGTCACAAGAATATGCCTACAATCAGGCTTTTAGCCAGCACCACAGAATACTTTCAAAACCTGTATACAAACTTATACTGAAATAGACTAACTGCTATACATGGAAAAAAAAGTTAGTGTTAGATTATTCAAGAAAAGCACAGAAAAGAAATGGTAGAAAGAGGTCTTCAGTCACTCAAAGTTTTATCTAAAACACAATAAATAAATATCATAAATAAGCTGGATTCCAAATTAAATCTATCTTAAGACACATGGCAGGTCTACAGTTATTTCAAACTATATTGACACCCAACAGTTATCACTCAATCCATTATCATTCTAGAGAACAGAATGTATCTGAATAACAAAGTTTAGCACTTTAATTCTCCCTAAAAATATCAGTGCATCAGCAATAAACAGATTTCTTTCCAGTGTTTGTTACATAGGGTCAATGAAAAGACTGAAATTTTTAAAGCTTAAATTTAGAGATTGCATTTCAAATTAAGTTTCAAGATGGTAAGCAAACATTTGGTTGAATATTCAATCTTTCGCTGAATAAAAAAGCCAGCTATGTAACTGCTTTTGTCAGAAGTTCTCATTACCTCTTGGAACTTTTAGCATTGAAGCAAATTTAGGAAAACAAAGGCTTCCAAAAAAACTGTTACCTGAGCATTAATTCTTACCTGCTCCCTGTTCCATTTCCACTAGGGAAGTCATGCACTTTGACAGGAAACTGTTCCATCTGACTGAGGCAATTGTTCATTTTATGGACTAATGCCAACAAAGGTGCATTTTCTAATGGCTCTAATCTTCCAAGGGGTTCTTCTCCAGGAAGCTGAAATACATATTAATACATCTTAACAACTTAAACCACATGGTTTTTTGTTGGATTGGGTTTTCTTGCTTGTTTGGGGATATTTTTGTTGCTGTTATGATTGGGTTGTTTTTTTTCTTTGTGTTTTGGGTTTTTTTAAGAGGAAATTAAGAATCACTGCTCTGAAAGTAGCAGCAGTATCAGGATGACCAGATTACACATAAGATTATAAAAGACATGTTTCAAAGAACACGCTTTTTTCTCCTAGTTTCAATTGAATACCCTACAGATTTTAAGCATTCACCCTGAACATTAGCAGTAAGCTTCATGGAAGCAGTAGTTACCTACTTTCTTCTCTTTCACTTCAAATTTATTCCTTTAAAAACAGGACAATCTAGTTTCTTGCAGTATTTAGGACTCAAAAAAAGCACATAAGATTACTATCCCAACTCTTTCCACATCAACCCCTTAAAAGTAAGGGACACCTTTTAAGTTGTTCAAGTCTCAGATAACTGGCCATTTTGGATTTTTTTTTCCACTGTTGTGTGGATTTTTCTGTAATTACAGTCTATTCTAAAAGCTTTGATTTGTAAAGAGAATCATGTGAAAGGTACAGCACTATACAGCTTAGGTAGAAGCAAAACATTCCTTCCATACTCCATGTTAAGTCAATGTCACTGCTTTTCAGATGGTCAGGTAAGTACAACTTGAGAGAAAGACAACTAAGAATGACAAAACAATGAACAAGAAAACTTACTGGAGAAGAAAAAAAAACATGAAGAAATCTTTTCAATCTGATATCCCTGCTTACAGCATCTTTGTCACTTTTAGATGTCAAATAAAGCAGCAGTTGTTTAACAAACCCACTATGCTGGATTTCAAATGAGGAGACGTCAGACTCCGAGACAATGCTACGGATTTCTACAAGGCACTCTGTTCCACCATCCACCTACAAAAGATGAAAGTAGTCTTTTACAAAACAGGTATCAAGGGCTTAAGAAATACTATTTTTTCTCCTACTGCATGGAGAAGTCTGGATTGCATAACACCTCAATACAACCAATGACAGGGCAAATAATCTGAGAATAACCCATTTCTCTATTCAAGAGGAGATATTACAGGCAACATCTACATTTCCCGTTCTAAGAGAAGGTTCTACAAGGTCCTATTTCTGCCTTATACAACATAAAGACAAGCTCCAAAACAGAAGTTTAAACAAACAAGCAAGCAAGCGAACAACTCAGACTGGTGTGTATTTTACACAACATCTGTGTGAGAGAGAGGAGGAGGGAAAGTTTCCTGTTTTCATGATTGCTTAGATCACAGCACAGAACATAACTCAGCTGTTTAGCTACTGCAGAAGTTAGAGGTTTATAGGCCATCTATGTATCAAGGAACACAACTGCCTGAGAAAGAAGGCTCAAGTTCTTGAGACACTATTACTTTGGGACCAACCTGTATTTCTTCTATCCTTTCAGCAAAATGCTACTTCCCTCTTGTCCTCCCCTACCTCTCCCCACCCCTAAAGTTCTTACTACAAACTGTGTTCTTCTTTAGGTATAAAGTCAATCTCCAATACGCAATTGTAGAATTTTAAAATTTGAAATAAAATGCTATGTAAGTGAGACATTGCTAGGAATCAAAAATACTCTTGTTAATAAGTGATCATAAGTGATGTGAGTCAGAGCTTATATATAAATTCTAAAAAAAAAAATCCCAAGCAAACTATTGCAAGTTAGAAACACTGTCATCATTTAAAATAAAAGCTATGATGAACATATGGGCCATACTGTCTAAAATGGCCAGCTTTCCTCTAGCTTCCTCCTAAATACCTCTACTACTTCCATTCCTGCCCCCACTCCAAGTGAGTTTGCCGTTTCTCACCTGGAGGTTGAGTTGTTCAGTTGCAGTGCAAAGTCTCTGTAATACGTTTAGTGCAGGATTGCTTCCATCCATGTTTTCAGAACTAAAGTAACACTCTACAAATTTATGGGCTTGCTCCTTAATCCAGCCCTTAATTTTTTCTCTGTAAAGAAGCACACAAAAGGCATTTGGCCACATTTAGCATTTGCATACTGCAGTATTACAAGTGAACACAGCCAGAGTACTATTTTCCCCATGTTTAACAGCAGTCACAGACAAAATCCCTTCCTTCTTACTCCAACACAGCAAAGGTATATTCTCTACAGATTACTTCTTGCACTATTTTTCCCAATTTCCCAATTTTTCCCCAGTATGCTACTTTAAACTACTAACAAGTTCTTTTCTCTACCTTAATTCCTTAATTCTTCTTTCAGAGTTACTTTAACTGCAGTTAAAGTTAAGTTTCCTTGATAGGTGCTACTTAACCACCTGATAGGTTATCATAAGAAAAGTAGCTGCACCTCAAAGTCAACATCATATTAGAAGTATTTTGATTTTTTATGTGTGTACCTGTTATTGGAAATGGTATCCTTGGAAGCAGCCCTTGCAAGACCACTTACTCCTGCTGTTCGTGCTGGTTCAATATTATTACTGTTGGACTGTGTGCTTAACCTTCCCCATGTTTTAGGATTTAAGCTTGCCAGGAAGGAAGATTTAGGAGATTGAGTAGTTGTAGGGCTTTTAGCTGGAGAAGCAAAAGACAAAATTAAGAGAATCAACAGGTTTATTACAACTAGCACTTTTGAAAGTCTATACACTTACTTTTAGATTTAAAAGGAGATGGGTATCACAACTTAGAATGTTTACCTTGATTGTCTACTTTGTCATCATCTCTTGGAGGAGAGTATTTTGGTCTCCTTGGCCCTCGTTTTGGCAGTCTTTTTCTCTTTAGAACATCACTCAGTCGTCTGTCCAAACATAAACATAAAAAGTAACATGTTTCCATCCACCGTATTCATATGCATACCCACCCCTCAGTTTAAGATATATCTGCCAGCTATTTCCCCGAGAATTAAAAGAAGGTTCTCTCCCATAAGGAAGGCACAAGGGATTAATGAGCTCTGAGAGAAGGGGCCTCTACTTTAAGTGGAAGGACAAATTGAGTACTCCACCCAGAAAGAAGAGGTTTGCTTGCTGTCACCTTTCTACTATGGGCAGTCAAATACAGCCAGAAGTGCCACTGAACAAAGGTTTCTTGTAATTTTCGTGTTTTCACTTGTGTAACCATCTGGTTATTCCTTTATTTGAATACACTCAAAACAAACAGAAAATCCATAAATTTCTACTGAATAAACACCAAAAAACACTGCGTTTTTTA